AATCAATTTTTTATTTTTTTATTTTATATATTTTTTGCCGGTTCGGTTTGGTTTCAAACCATAATTAAAATTCTCAAACCTAAACCAAACCGTTTTTGACCGGTTTGGTTTGGTTCAAAGTCATTTCGTTGACGGGTCCACGTGGCACCAAACCGTCGGTTTCAAAATTGCGGTTTCGGTTCGATTTTCCGGTTTGACGATTTTTGCTTACAGCCCTACTCCACCCCCTAATGTGAGTGGGGTGTAAAAGATTTGGTAAAAAATTCGGTAAGTTTAGCATAACTCTAAAAGAATAGTCCTACTGGATGATATTCAGCAACTATGTTACATGGGAAGATAAGTAAGTGAATGATTCTATAAATAATGCACAACATATACAACGGACATTTATATCTGTTCCCCACAACATGTATAGGATACGAAAACATCCGTATCAGTGAACATACGACGATGTTACAGTTCCTTTTTCCATTTTGACACTGACGAATTCTAGCATATTTCCCTTCTTTGTAAAGTGCACTTAATTAGAATCTGTCACGAGATATACTCACTTGCAACTCAAAAGCGGTGTCTAAATGAAGATCCAAAAGAATTTAGATTGATGCATCAAAATATTCATTCCCAACTCGACTAATTTGAGGTAGCCTCCCGGTTGTAGCAACTCACCAGCAATTCTATCAGGTTGGGTTAAGTCCCTCTTAATTGACTGTATATGCATACATAACACATTAAATGGATATACTAATCGAGTCATACAGATCATATAAAAGAGAATTCTTCATGATACCTTCGCCAGAGAGTAAGCTAATGCAGAACCAACTTCACCAGCTTCAACAACAACAACTAAATCTGGTCCTCTATCTTCCTCGGATGCATACTTTTTCTGAACAAATCAGCAAAGACAATGGGATTGTTCTCTTTAGGGTTGAAGGTTTTGAAGGGAATTAGAACTAAAAACAGAAAAGTGGAAAATAAAAATGGAAATGAAGATGAAGATGAATTAGTCTCTAGTTTTGAGTGAAATGAGAAAAGTCTTACACAAGGAAAGATTTTGGGGGTGATTATGGAATTTTCGTTCTTGACCGTTAATTGGGGGATGAAGAAAGCTTAGGGTCTGTTTGATAGGTAAAAGTGGAAAGGAATTTTAATTCCATGTTAATTGGAAAATAAAATTCACCGAACCCACAAAAATTCGTTTTCCATGAAGATAAAGAAAATACAGTTTAAAATGGTTGTACCTTAGAATTCGGTTTCAATTTCCACTTTCTTATCAAACGGCCAAAGTGAAATTCGTTTTTCTCGAATGTGACATTTTCCATAGAATTCGTTGCAATCAAACAATGCCTTATTGTTTTCTTATTGAGTAATGATATTTATCATATGGAGTATTCGTGATGTGATAACTTATTATCTCTCACATTTCTCTCTCCCCCTCTCCCTCATAAAAATTGAACTGTTCAATCTCATTATTCCATATAAATTACTATATCATTGATATTACATTATCATAATGATAAATAATATTATTCTTTCTTATTTTACTACTATAAGTTACTAAGTTAGTATTCATCAAATAAAAAAAGTTGGTTGGTAAATTTAAGATTTAAGTTAAAATTAAGGTACCCAGTGTAATTTGCACTAAACAACGGTACTGGACCTTCCCAGCCCAACATTCCATGCCTTTTTATGTGGGCAATCGAAATAAATAGGATCAAAATGGTCATATTAATAATTCTTCATTATTTGAAGAGAGAAACATATCATTTAACACTAACCCGTGTCAAACTTGAGAAATTATATGTTTTAGACTTGTATGTTTGTTTGTGACTTATGAATGAAAAGGGAAACTAGTATTTATAATTTAAAGTCGACTACATGAATTATTTTACGTTATTTTGCTACGTTTGATTGTTACATATCTAATATACAAGTCCTTTATGAGAGATGCAACATCCCACAAAATGTATGTTAAGAATCAAGTCACAACCTTTAATAAAATTGTCAATCTATTGCTACCCTATCCTTGAGACAGGTCAAAAAGATGGAGGAAACTATAAATCCATATTGAAGTTATAGCCCTGTATTGGCACAAAACTTTTACGAAGCATAATTGACATTACTTGCCTTCTATGCTTAACTAATGTTTGATTCTTTGCCTTCTTATGAATCTTACCAAAGCCATATTTTCACACTCAAACACACAACAAAAACAGCAGTCTTCTTTGTTCATTTTCTTGTTTCATTCTCCGTTACAATTTCCCAACATGTCAGCGCCCTATCAGAGAGAAGCAAACCCCCATTTTCATCCCTCACAACCACCCACAAGACCTCGTGAATCCGAAATTGAGTTTTTTCCATCGCCACAGGATCAAGGTCCCGCGCCAAACCGTCCACGGTTTAAAACCCGTCCACGGCGTCAAAGCCGCAGGCCACTACCACCACCTCAACTCGATCATGACACCAATCCTCACCTTTCTACACAACAAATGCCACAGAGTCCAAGCCGCCCACGACCTCAGAACCTCGACTCAACTCGTCCGCCACCGCCAGGTCAATCACAATATCAGAAGGAACAACCACTGCAACCACATCCAGTATCACCCTATCATCATGCAGATGAACATGGCCATGGTAATTCAGTAAGGCTACCGGAAAATCAAAAAACCAACCCAGTAATATGGCTTATAGGAGCAATTTGTGCAATTTTGTGGATCATAATAATAGTAGGAGGCCTCATAATCCTCATAGTTTACTTAGTTTTTCGCCCCCGGAATCCGAAATTCGACATCTCGACTGTCACACTAAATGTTGCCTACCTTGACATGGGCTATTTCCTCAATGCAGATCTCACAGTACTCGCAAACTTCACCAATCCAAACAGTAAAGTGAACATCGACTTCAGCTACGTAGTCTTCGACCTTTTCTACAATGATAAGTTAATAGCTACACGTTATATCGAACCATTTTCTGTGATGAAGGCCGAGTATAGGTTCGCAGATGTGCATCTTATGTCGAGCCAGGTTCGACTGCCTTTAGCCGATAGTCTAAACATGCAGAGGCAGATAGAGAATGGAAGAGTTAACTATGAGATAAGGGGTTTATTCAGAGCAAAATCTAAGCTAGGGGGATTCCTCCGGTACTCGTATTGGTTGTCTGCTCACTGTAAAATAGTGCTAGGAGCCCCTCCTACTGGAATCTTGATCAGCAAACATTGCCAAACAAAGCGCCAAGGTATATCGTAAACTCCAATTTTCGACACAGCAGAGAAGACATACAACAGAATCATAAATCATAATCATAGAATACGACACTTTGGTTCGTTTCTGATTGTTACTTTATTTTATTTTTGTGATTGATCTGAAGTGCTGAACAGCTTTTGATATGCATTTATTTGTTGTGATTAAGATAGCATTCCCATTTTATTTGTACAATTTTACCATTTCCAAAACCCGTAAAATGCTTATGTACCATTGGCATCACTTTTGAGAAGCGAAAATCTGCTTTTGAGACTTGAAAGATGCTTTCAAACCTCATTTGATTAAAATTAAAAGAGCTTCTTCTAATTAGAAAAGATTTTAAAGAAAACTATCCAACGTGAATTCCTCTAAAAACTCTTTCACAAGAGAGTTTTTTTTTTTTTTAAATTTAGTTCTCAAACATTAATGTACCTTACCCATAAAGCAAGCTTTTCTACCAGAAGTAGAAGCAAAACTAAAAATTCTGTTAAACAGGTCCCTACATGTACAGGTGCCAAAATGTGTTGTGCTACTCAAACACGGACAACCAGCCTGTGAATGCACGACCTGGGCCACGATGGTCCATGTCGTGTGTCAGCCACCCGCTTCTACAGTCAAGCAATCTGAGGCTTGGCAGTATAGATCCACGTGACTGTATTTAAAAAAATATGAAAAAATAAATTTATGCAAGAATTATATGAAAGCTCATAGGCTGAGCCAGCCAGATAATCAATATGAACTTGTGTATAGGCATTTTCGAACATGGTATGACAAGTCTAACAGCCACGCCAAGCATTCAATAACTTGTTTGATATGCAGTAATAACGTTCCTCACAGCCCGATTCATTACAAAGGGACTGGTTACTATTTAAATAGATGCAGTCGAATGAAAATGCAAACATTTCTTAATGAGAGAACAAGTGAACACCTTATAAATACTCAATCCATACAATATCTACTCTGGCTCGACTCTAAATCTCTCTGTCAGCTTATTCTCCCCAAGCCCAAATGTCGATTCCCAGATCAGCCATTGGCTAAAATCATATGGTTGGTTATCATAGCCGATGACTTGTTCCAACATCTGAAGCAGCTCCTACACAAAAATTTTGGGGGAAGTTGAGCTTTGAAATTTTACAAACAGAAAAATAGGTATTTTCCAGGGAAATACTAAATCGTAGTACCCAAAGGACTTGTTTTGAAGATGCAGAAAGAGGAGCTGAGGGAATAACCAAATACTTATTCTGTTAAAAAGTGCAGCCATTGCAATGGTGAAGACAGAAGAATGAGTTCGTTAGAAGGTGATGTTGGACAAAACAAGACGCGAATAATAATTGAGCAGAAATGAAGGTGAGAAAAATGAGAAATTGGGCAGAAATTTTGATGTAGAAAGTGACAAAGAAGTTAGTTGTTCACTATGAATCCAAAAAGAGCAAGTGAAGACACATCAAGAGGACACCAAACAGAACAGGAGAGAGCATTCAATCCGTTTTCATCACAAATTGTGGTGGTCCAGAAATGTTTATAAACCACACATACCTCTCCATTGGACCAACTGCATATTAACTGATTATGTATCAACTGATCACCCATTAGAAATAAGAACTTGAATCCAAGTGGCTTCTCAATTGCAGTCCATCAGGTTCTTCCTTGAACTTTTTCGACTCCATGTAATGACGAATGTTCACTTTGACCTTGTTCAACTTCGCGTTCAACTCTGGATCGCCTTCTTTCAGCGAGTTGATAAAATCACGAGCAATGATGTTAAGCAACTTTTCAAACTGAGTTTTGTATCTCCTGTAAAGTGCAAATCCAGCCATCTGTGCACCAAAACATTGTCTTTTAAACACATATAAAAGCTTGCTTGGCACTGTTAATAATATGTTTATAATCAGTTAAACCTACTTTTTATCCACACATTCGTGGAACCCACAAGGAGTACCCACTTATGCTCCACTAATTTCTGTCTAATTGTAATTTAAACCTATTATAATCACTTCCCAAACGTGCACTTAAATGAGTCGGGAAATGAGATTGGAAAATGCAGTATCAACTTACCTCAAGAAATGATTGCAGAGCAACAGCAGTATATAGATTTGCCGGGAGAGCATTCAAGAATCTGGCAAGCCATGCCCAGCCTTCTCTAAGTCCATGCAGGTTTTGAAAGCCGTTAACTTCAGTCTGCCATATATGCATATTTTCCAAATTAAAGAACAAGAAGGTAGACAGACGAGCACCCACCAGCATATCATTATTGCATTTTCCAACTTTGTTAAAATTCAGGAAGTAACAGAGACACAAACCTGAACTAGAGCTCCATATAGTTTCATGTATGAACTTAACCTTTCTACATAACTATCAGTACTCTCAATCTTCCCATCTTTTTCCTCATAACCAATGGCTTTGTAGTAAGCATCTTTTGTCTTAAAGTGTGCCTAAAATAGAAAAACACAGTTTAAAATCCATACACCAAGGATCAGAACTACTAACCAAAACAAGAAGATAACACTTGACCTGTAATAATAAAAAAAAAAAAAAAAGAAAGAAACAGAAAGAAAGAGGAGAGAGAAAATAGATGTCTTCAAACTTCACTGGGTATTCATGCCACGAGACTATCATGCAGACAAGAGCTAAAATAATAAATTAAATAGCACAGGCTTTTGCTAGCGAAACCATCATCAACTGTAGAAAAAACAAAATTACAAGAATACAGAGGAATTACCGCAGAGTAACTTGTATGCTTTGGTACAGTGTACATGCAAGCTCTGTTCAACTCAGCTAGAAGAATATCCATGGCGAGAGGGATCTATGTTCAAGGAAATAAATTATGAAATTGCAAACATGCCGAGGCCATAAAATCATTGCTGATTTAATCAAGAAACGTGAATTATACAAAAGAGAAATGTGAGACGCCATTTTTAGGAAAACTAAAATCGAACAAGAGCCTCAGATAATTCTTAAATAATTTGTGAATGTGGAGATGGGGGACGAAGGGGATCTGTGTTCAAAGGAAATAAACCATAGAAGTGCAAATAACCCAAGAACATAAAATTAAGTGTGATTTAGTTGAGAAACATGACTTGTACAGAAGACAAAAGTAAAATAAATTCTTCGTTCCAAGAGTCTTATGCACAAGAGTTTGTATGTGAGTGTGTGGGGCAGGGTGGGGTGGAGTGGGGCGGGGTGGGGTGGGGTGGAGTGGAGTGGAGTGGGGAGGGGTGGTGGCTGAGACCAGAATGAAGCAAAGAAGATCTTTTAAACATATGCAATAATAGGGATATAATAGTGTATTTTACCTTCGATGTCACAAGAACAATGACACGACTATAAGCAAAAACGATACCACTGAAGCTCTTTTGAGGATTTGCACTCTGGGACACAACCTGCAAAATTTAAGACCCAAATAGATGTTAGTACATCATCACACCCTGTTTTCTAAACGCCCAACAAAATAAATACGATTCTGAACATTCTAGAAATAGCTAACCTTCTCTGCAAACATTAGGATACTAATGGATTGGGGACATTCCGGACTATTAATTAGCCTTACTAACTCATCTGCTCTTGTTCTGGACAAAGAGAATCAAAATGTTGCATATCAAACCAGTTGTGTATTGACAGCCCCATATAAATATAAAAGATTCAGATTTTGGAGACCCAAAAGTAAAAGCTATTAACACGGTGTTAACTAAATTAGGACTTACCTGACATTTTCTATTGATGCAGAGATTGTTTTGATTCGTCTAGCAATATGCTGTCCATGTCCATGATAATCCTGCTGGAACAGACATTGTCAACAATAGTTTATCTATAAGCAAGAAAATTATCGTAAGATTCCAGTAGAACCGCATCCATACCTCAAATCAATAATTCTGAACAACAAACCCAGATTACAGAATGTAAAGGCAAAAAGCAACTAATTTCTTGCATGGTAACTAATTTCCACCCGTCACAACCTTATGTGCTCTAAATTTATTTGATGAATAGTTGCATTTTGAGAAGTTTTAGTACATAAACCATAAAAATGAGGAGAATGTAGCAAAAATATATTCACAATTATCATTACAGAGGTAAAACAATCTAATGCTAGGGCTTCAGAACTCAATCGGCAATCCTTTCTCTAATGATTTACCTTATTAGTGCTCAATCGTATAGCCTCATTTTTCACAGATAATTCTTTATAAGTCAGCAATCTTCTCTCCTCCAATTCTAGAGCATTTCGTGCAGCTTTGGTTATATTTCCTGCCACCATATTTGATAGTTGAAACCTCATATGAGAACAGAGACAAGGGCCGAATTTTTCTCCCTTCTCAATTAAACACAGGCACACATATACCTGACAATTGGACTTCTTTCTTAAAATCATTTCCGGCCACCACAGATTGTCCAACAGTCTCCTTAGAATCAACCACAGTATTGGTAGCAGAATCTGTTTTAGTTTCTACAGTAATTTTCACTGCAGCTTCTTGAGCAGCTCTCTTCTCAGCTTCCAGTGCTTCTTTTTTAGCCTTTTCAGCTCTTTCAGCTTTTAGCCTAGCCTGCCTCAAATAAACAAGCTCTTGGAAGTTATATTGAGCTAATGATTCACACAACATTTCCACCTTAACAAAATGAACCACAAATTTCCTAAAAAACGCTCAAACTGCAGGTATGAAGAACATGCATAATCGTCTAATAATATTGAACATCAGGTCATCAAACCATGCAGTAACAAAGAGAAAGTAGGAAAAAGATTCATGAATAATGTTAACAGAAAGTTCTATCCACTTTACGGCGCTGGAAGAATATCATAACATCCTAAGTTGTCAATTTTGAGGCAATTTCTGAATTAAAGATGTTCTATGGGATAGAAATTTTCCGTTCCTAAATTTCCTACTTGCTCAACTAAGAAGACGTCTAATAATATGGTAGGCTACCACCAAAGATCAGAAGGCATAAAATAAATTGTAAATTAGTCTTCACATTGGCTTTTAAATAATATAAATGTGCAAACTAAATTTTTCTGACCACTGGCAGACGTAAGGATATTACCACTTCGTCGTACTCTCTGTCAAATCAGATCTCTAACCAAATTCAGAAGTTAATGTCACATAAAGCAAATAAAATCACCAACAGGAATGTAGGGGGACGTAAGGATATTACCACTGGCAGATGTAAGGATATTACCACTTCGTCGTACTCTCTATCAAATCTAATCTCTCACCAAATTCAGAAGCTAATGTCACATAAAGCAAACAAAATCACCAACAGGAATGTAGGGAGCAAGTCAATCTTTCTACTTACGAGATAATCAATAAACATCTAAAAATATCGCCAAACAATAAAAGTTGCACCAAGGAGACATGAGATATAAAGTGTATATTTGGTGCTGAGTGCTTGTTATGTATCTGGAATATCTAAAGAGATGAAATGAGATTTAGTTTATCAAAATTACAGATGCTAAATTAGTAACGAGAGGGTTATTTGAAGCAAAGCCAATTGGCAGAGTGGCGGTTCCACCACAAAATTACAAATATTACTAAGGAGACCAAAAAAATGAGTTTTTTTTTTTTTTTAAAAATAAAAATGAATGCATCTTTTTAGAGTAATTATATAGAGGAAATCTCTATACATAATATCCAAGGCAACTAAAAGTTGACATACTATTGTACTGCACAAAATGGGGAAAAAGAACTGATACCATACAATATTGTTCATAGAGAACTATAAAAATGAGTATGCAGTAGTCAAGCATCATAAAAGATTTGGAATTGCAGAATCTAAGCCACTGAATTCACCTGAGAATATGAAACTATACAAGAAAGTTAAATGAAATTGAGACAAAACGAAAAAGAACCTCTTCTTCTGCTCTAATTTTTTCTTGCAACCATTTTTCTTGTTGTGCCTTTTCCTTTCGTTTGACCTCTTCCCGAACTGCATCATCTCTTAATCTTCTTTCTTCTATTTGGGATCTATGCTCATGATCCCTCTGTACAGCTGTCAAGTGATTATCAAGTGCTTCCGCACTGCAGTTATGCAACATAATTGTAAGCAAGTTCTCCTCCTTCAAATTAAACAATAGAAAAAATACGATAAACATTGCCTCATGTCACAGTCAAAAGAAAAAAATTGTGTTCCCTCTATAATAGTTTAACCTTTTAAATGAGGTGGTTCAATATGGTAACCAAGCAAGCAAAGGTCCAAGGTTCAAATTTCAATGCATCACCCATTTATAAAAATGAGCAATTGAATACATGCCACACTCACCTTTAATTAGAAAACATGAATCTGGTCTGCATGTGAGGCATGTTGAACACTAAATATAAAGGAATAAATGTGTTCCTATAATGGTTTAGGCTTTTAGGTGCCATGGTTCAAAATAGCCCATCATATAAGTTAGTTAAAAAAGGAAAGAAAAAAAAGAAAGAAATCACAATCAAATCAATGTTGCACATCTGCAAATTACGGGGTATTTCTTACATGCATATAACTATGTTTGTGTTTCTAATACACAAAAGCTAGATAAAATACTCTTCGATAATATTATGTCTTTCTGAGCAGTATGAATATAAACAAAAGTTAGAAGATGTTATCTCCACATCCAATCATAACTATGTTTAGGCTACAATTAATTCTTCTGCACTGGGGACATCAATGTACTTAAATCTCATTTAGTGCATCATTTAATTCTAATTAAATTATAATAATTCTAGGTCAATGTCAAAAAAGTTACACAATTGAAGCATCTTATCTTCAAGCAAGTAGCCTACATACAACTATGACTCAGTAACTAGCATCTGTGCGATGTGCTCCACGAAAATTATGGCATGAAATCAACATCTATAATGAAATTAAAACTCTATTAAGCCTCAGGGAATTGTAGTGTGTGAATCTTACATTGTGCGTTGATAATGTAAATCAAATTTTCTGTCCTTCTCCTGCTGAAATTCTTTATGTTTCTCAACTTGAGCAATTACAGAGGCAAACTTCTCATTTACATTAACTAAATCTGTTTCCAATGTCAATATTTGGTTCCTCACTTCCTCCTGCATATTTAGGCAACAGAAATCAGTAACAGTGCTCACGTGTAATTGAATGCAATGAACCGAATTAGTTTGTTTGTCTGGCGCACCACACACACATTTTTGAAGCTGCAAATTAACTAGTAAAAGCTACAAAATGTACTTTCTCATCAGTAAAAGTAGATTCCAGTGATGGTTGTTCAGAAAACTGCAATGCAACAGCAGGCGCCGTGTAATGCAATGTTAACAGCATGCTAGGGAGCACAAGGGATCCAGTTAAAAATTATAAGCTGACATCAGTAGCATTATTATTATTATTTGGAAAAATGTAAAGATAGTTAATAAAACAAGAAAAGGAGCATATAAGAACACACAGAATTGAGGGATGCCACATGCCTTTGGTAAATTTAGTGATGTAATGAGTAGAAAAGCTCTTCACGTGCTTCAAAAAGTGTGTGCTCAAAGTAAAAGAAGGAAAACGATAAGTCACTCGCCCTAAAGTTTATTTAAGAGGCACAAATGGTCTTTGGGGCTGTGGTTTTTAAAGCATGAGCCAGGTTCATAGTGAAAGAATCTTAGATATCGTCAAGCACAAGATTCCAAAATCCATATGTAAACATTTTAGTGCCAGCCAATTATTTAAGTACAAATGTCACTCATCAAACAAATAAACTAGAATTTTCAATTTCATCACTTTTCTAGCAAAGCAATTACAAATTAAATAACTAAATCTACCAACCTTAACACTGAACTGAAGGTCATGAATTAACTCGGAGAGCGCTCCTTCCACTAATCCCACTTTATTCATCAAACATGGGATTTCAAGAGGTAATTTATCTTCAGAATCATCGCTATCAATGAAAGAACAAAATTTAACAATAAGATTAAAAATTTAGCAAAACCTAAGGACAATTATTAAGCATTTAATTAAGTGGGGCAAGTTTCAGAAGTCAAAAATTGCAATTTCAAACTACATGTCAAAATTTATGTTGACGTAGATTCCACATCACAAGAAAATAAGTATATAACACTTGTAAGATTACTTGCTCTCTCAGAACCTTTTTCCCTTTCCAGGGGCTGAAGGCTTACTCTTTTAGCTTATTTTAGTTTAAATATTATCCTTTCTATGGTAAAAAGAAAAGAAAAGACCTCATTCCATTACCCTCCACCGTAAGATGTTAATTAAGAACAAAGCCAACACAACAAGAGTAAAGTATTATCCGGTAAGTCACAATGGATAAGTCAAAAAAACCAGTCTCATTTTATCTTTGCTAGGACAGGCTTGGCAAGAATAAGCTTTTGATTGTTTTGCCTAGCTCAGGTGGAGGTCCAACCTCTAAAGTTCAAGGACAAAAGTCAGTTGGGACAAATTCAGTCCTGTAACAGCAAAATTAAAATAAAGGTTGATTAAGTAACAGGCAAAGCCAGATAATCAATAAGACAATTTAACTACATGGGGATTACACATCTACATGTTGATGGTTTAATGGACAGGAAACAAGACATTGCTGACATGTACTAAATCTCTGAATATCCATACATTGTCATTCTAAACTATGACATAAAAAACTTAATTAAAACAGGTTGCAAACTGTTTAATCCAATAAGACTTTTATGAACTGCAATGAACTAGTCTAAATTTTCAACCACTAGTGTGATTAGTAGTTTCCTAAGCTACAAACACACTTTTGCAGCACCCTTCATGTTACACGCAATTTATAAGAAGAAGATCAAACACACAGATCAATGTTCTATAAGAGTGTGTGCTCCATCTAGGAACTCCAGAACAGAAAACTAAGCATTCAAATAAAGTGCATCTACCCATTAATGTATATTTTCATCACTATATCAATTACTTCTAATTAACAAAAGGATTTTTCCATTAAAGTTCCTCAGAAACTATATTATCCCTTCACAGATACTTTTGTGTTACGAAAACATAAAAGGCCAGTAAAAGATAATAAGGCAATAATATTTCAATTTCATTCATTGTACTTCTTCCCTTAATTAGATTCTTCAATGAAACATGTAGTCACTAGTGCAGAGTGAAAACCTCATATAGAATTCATCACAAGAAAATCGCGTGCCCACGACCATGGATGAATCTTCAACCTCCTCTTCACTATCACTGTCAGTCGCTTCCAGCTCATTGTCTGACATGTGCATTACAAAGCCCCTTGAATACTTATTAGCCATCTTTGAAGCTTGAAACTCTCTGAATGATAGTATCAAAATATATCAAACAATAAAATCCTTGACACTATTTATATGCAGACAAGCATTCAATTGCATGAAATGCATAGTTTAGTCAATTTTCAATACACATACCTAGGTTGAGTTTTGGTAAACGGTACAGAAATTTTTGAAGATACATTAAGCTTCTTTTCTATTGTATCGATCTCTGTTAATAAGTTATCAAAGCTCCAATCTGGCTGTGGATCTGCAGTTATTCCATCAACATTTGGAGACCGAAGTTTCAGTTTAACAGCTCCCCTGATTTTAAATAAACCACAAGTCAGCCATATCAAAACAAGAAAACCCTATCCTCAACAACATTATTTATTCAAAAAGAATTTCAAACCAACTCAATTTTGAGTCACCAAGAACATAATTGCCATAAAGTTTACTAAAAGACATACTCAGAATTAGTAAAAGAACAACATAACTTGTCCTCTTACATTTTCACCAGATGGTCGTGATTGTCGACTGAATTCTCAGAATCTAGACAAAAATTGAATTATCTGCACAATTAAAAAAAACATTAATTTACAAATGCACTCAAGAAAGTACTACACGACCAGAATTACTATTTCACAAAGCATTGTAGCACTTTCAAAAATGAATTTGAGTACCGACTTTCAAGGACATGGTATCAGAGCCAAATATCTGAATTAGGGTCGCGAGTTTCTGAAAATTGTGGCAGGGGTGGAGCCAGGAAATTGGTTCAGTGCACACACAATTTAATCGACGCCGAGCTTTGAGTATTTTTGTCATTGATTTAATGATGTTCTTTGCGAGTTTTCATACTTTAATATCGTTGTAAAATAACTCCATTATCAATCTTCAAAAATATATATTTCTCTACATAAACAATTGTGCTATCATTCATCAATTGTACAATAACTTCATAATCGAGTTTCAAAAATATATCTTTCTCAGCATAAACAATTGTGCTATCATTCATCAATTGATCTCACATCCGATTAAGCAATCTATCATTTACAATGCTCATCGAAGAAAATACTCTAGAGACTAGTAGAATTAACGCTAAAGTCAAAAGCTCGTAAACCAATTGGTATATCTTACTTTTCTTTGTTATAACTAACTTCTCTGCAATATGACTAAGGTCATTCAACTCTTCACAACATCCAAGTAAGTTCACAACCTATCTACAGACTACAATTCAACCTTAGCACTGTTCAGTGGTTCACAACATCCAATTAGGTTCAAATCAAAATAACAAATAAAAAGAAAAGAGAAGCGAGAGGGCTTCGGGGCCTTAGTACAACATCCAATTAAGTTCACAAACTATCTGTAGATTGCAATTCAACCTTAGCACAGTCCAGTGGTTCACAACTTCCAATTAGGTTCAAATCAAATCAAAATAACAAATAAAAAGAAAAGAGAAACGAGAGGGCTTCGGGCTTCACCAGTTCACGGTTCAATGGTTCACCGTTCACCTTTTTGTTCTTCCAAAAACAAATCGCTGTTGTGCTACCGATGGTGTCTATTGTCAATGGAAGGATGGCGTCGCCGGTGTCGCCGCATCAAGGGCTCAGAGAGACAAGAGTGCGATTGTGAGAGGTTAAGCCGCTGAGAGAAAAGATTCAAAGTCGCCCTGCAATGCTACAGATGATAAAGGATTATAGTTTACTCGCAGTAGATGAATGTGTGACTGGTGAGAGTTGGTTTTACAGTTTACTCGAGTTAAATATTCAATGGTAGCTCTACTTTACACCTCGTTACGATTTACTCCCTCAACTTTACTAAGTTTCCCCATGGTCACTGAACTTAGCTTCGTTGCCCTAAAATGGCCATTGGATGGATTCCGTTTGTTCTTGTGTCTACGTTGACGACGAAAAGGTGAACTGTCAGTTAAAATTGTCCACATGTTAAGTGAGTTGCACACATGGGTACCAAATCATCTAAATGAACCCTTAGCTATAGTAAAATAAAAAACGTGTTCTTTTAACTCATATCAAAAGATTCAAAGCACCACCTCCACACAGAAAAAGAAAGAAACAGTAGCACTAACCTCAAATCCATTTCATTTTTCATCCTGATTTCAGCTGCAAATTGGAAAACCCAAAATCACGCTCGGAAGAACCCTAACCCAAATCCATTTCAAACATCCATTTTGAATCGGTTTGCGGTAGGTGAAATTGGCAACTAATATTGCTCACAGAAGGTCCACTAATTTTTATAAAACTGAAGGATTGTTGATTTAAAACTGGGTAATGGAAGCTCTGAAACGGTAAATTTAGCCATATCCAGAAGCTAGAGCTCTCAGGTTCCGCCATTGACGGCCGTGAAATCTTGTGGGGTGTCTCTTTCTGATTTTCTTATGAACGAGAAATTGACACTTGATTGCAAATTCAGCATTGCATACCAACACATTACAACTAATGAACAATTTTTATGGGACTTCATTTAATAAGCCTAGTCAAACAAAGTTTTAGTTTAAAAAGTCCACAAAATAAGGGGCCGTTCTCTTCATATTTTAGTTTTGTGTTTTGAGTTTTGAATTCATTTTGGGTTTTGTGTTTTGAGTGTCCATTTTGAAATTGTTGAAAACGTGTTCTTTTTGACATTTTGAAAAATTATTTTCGAAAATAAAAAAAAATCAAATCGTGTTCTCTTTCTCTCCATTTTCATTTCATTTGGGTCGTCTCTCTCTTACTCTCTCCCTCCTCTTCCTGCGAACGGCCCTCCCTGCGAACGGCGCTCCCGACGAGCGGCGCGGTGGTGGTTTGCGTTTGGGCGCTCCCTGCAATCTCCTTCTTCATCTTTATTTTTTCGTTCTTTGATGCGGTGGTTGGTTGGGTTGCGAGCGGTGATGGTTGCATCGCAATTTGGTGATGGCTGGTGCAGGTGGTTTTGTGATGGTTGGTTCGCCATTTTCGCTGGGCGATGGTGGTTTTTTTCTGGTGATGATTTTGGCTTTGGCGGTGGGGGTATTTCTGTGTTGACGATTTTGGA